GCCTCCGACAGATCTGGCCTACTTCGCCGTTCTATCCTCACAACAATTCTGTCCTGCTCGGCGCCGGCTGTGAACAAGGCTCCATTGTAGGCAACATGGTCAATGCGGCCGTGCTCATCCTCAAATCGCCTTGCTTGTGGAACATGACGCCACCTCCACATGACGGCCCGACGTTATTCTACAACAACGAGACGTACCTCCAGAGGGCACTGACATATATCGAACACGGTGACATGTGAGTTTGAGCTGTCGCTCCCTCGTTGATACCGTCGCTGACTGTAGTTGTCGCTCGGTCGCTCGTTTAGGGCGCTGGATCGTAAGTTTCTAGATAGAGAACCTGCGATCCGTCGAGCACAGGTCTGACAGGTCTCTGCCGACAGGCTATCTGATTTTATACTTTCTCGACCCGGCTCGAGACTGGGGGTTGATACAACCCGACGATCCTCGATGGAATCTCGTCGGAGATATCGGAAATCTGCCAGGCGATCCTCTTCCATGGAATCGACGCATGATCATGCTTCATGGATTCCTCAGACTCGCAGCAGCCCATGAATTGTATCCCGCCTTCGACCAGAAACGGGTGGCATTCTACGATCACATTGTCCAACTCAACGTTCAAGCTTTCCTTGCTTCGCTCAACGAAACCACATCCGTGCAAGGTCGACCAACGTACGAATGGTACTACGTTGACGGTGAATCCTACATTGAAGAGTCCATGGGTGTTCATGGTTATTTTGACATTTTGGGTTTGTTTCAAGCTTGGCAACGCAATCCTCAATTTTTTGGAGTGACGGATGAGATGTTAACAAGGTTTGCCAACACGTTTCAAGACACGATTAATCTTGGCAACAGTGAGCTTTTTGGTACCGACTGGTTGATTCCAGGTTGCTGAGCACCGATTTGTAGACTCGTTCTCGGGTCTCGTCAATGGTTTGTCGACGGAGAAAGCGCGCTCGGTGCCTGGTTTGTGGGGCGGATGGAGCTTCTACTGTACGTTCAGAATTTTTAAACTGGAAGCTATGAGACATAATTGACCCGCTCCGTGTTTGCAAAAGCCTATTGGGCACCAGAATGGTTCGACACAATCACAAATGCCAACCTTGCGGCTAGAAACGGCTTCAACGGACGAACCTGGCTCGCCTTGCCTCTGTGTAAGGAGTCCGTTGCTAGCTGTATCTCCCCTGAATCAGCTGACGAGAAGGGAACTTTCAGTGTGGACCAAACACGCTAGACATGTCAATCAAACGACGTTCTGGCGAAGTGGGTTTGCAGGTGGCAACAATACGATCGCAGGTACCGGTTCAAAATACTATCGGAATTCGGCTTTCTCCAATGCATCTGCATCATCATTTCTCGTCGTTCTCATCTGCATCATCGCAGGTCTCGTAGTGTCCTTATAGACTTTCTTTCATTGCTTTTGCACATAGTCATTGTAGTTGTCGTCCTCTTTTCGCATCGCACAGGCAGACGTTTGATTTTTCCTTGTGTCAATAGACTTCTAAGCAGACTGCATCATCGTAATTGGTATCATAGAACTGTCAAATCTAATGCATGTTTTCAGCATAGTTTTGTTTGAACGAAGGTCTTGCAAACAAAGTCTTGAGGTAGGTATCCAATTTGGGTCCAACCTTGACACCGTTAGGAAGGTTAGAGTTAAGTTTGTTGACAGCTTGACCATTGGCCACTTCAGAGATTGATTCAGCTCCAGATGCGGCGAGAATGCGAGCGAAGTAAGCGCCAACATGAAGGCTGTTCGAACAAAGCTTAGCTCAGCTAATCTCAGTTATCACGGGGTTGTGTACTCACTCTGCTAACGAGATCTGATCTCCGACCAAATAAGTGGCCTGAAGTTTTCCTTCGAGCAATTGAACGAGCTTGCTCAAGTTTGACCAAGCCTCTTGCGATTTGGCATAGAAGCCACTGGCGTCGGCTTGACCTTCGTACACGGCGATCAAGCCGCCATTTTCCTGCAGTTGGAGATGTCATGAGCGAATCAGAGCGTGCTGGAGACTCGGACGGATTGTGGACCGACTTTGATCTTCGTCTCGTAGAACGCCTTGAGTTTGGAGTCGTTGCTATCCGCCGTTTCTTTCTGGTATTGTTCCAAAGCGGCTTGTCTACCTTTCAAAAATTCGCCAGGCAAAGATGCCATCTTGGCCTTGCGTTCGTCGTCGTTGCGCAAACTCAACAACAAAAAGTTTGGATCTGGTGCGTCTTGTTTGTGAACAAGCTGAATCAAGAATTGTTCATCTGTGGAACCTTGAACTGTAGCAGGTGACAATTTCGGTGCACTGTGTGACGTGGCAGGTGATAGAGTGGATTCGTCGAGGAATTTGGCGATTTCGACAGAATCAGTCAAAGCTTTGAACTTTGTTGGGACTGCGGGATCCACCGTGTGCTCGTATGGAGCGACGAGAGCTGGAACTGTGCCTGTGATAGAGTGGCAGCGAGTGTCAGTATGGCAACCCGCTAATTGCCCTCAGCGGCGCGGCGCAAGTGTCGCCCCACCTTGAGGCGCGACTGAGGAGGAAGAGCGAGCGCGTCAGTACAGTCTACGTTTTGACAGAGTTCGCAGAGACGAGTGGTGGCCTCACTTCTCAAGAAAGCAGGAGCAAAGTTCTCTCCCTTGACTTTGGGTGCAGGGCGCAGTAGAAATTGCAAATACGTCATTGCCAGGGTCAGCGAGCTGTGCACGAGCCTGAATCCTTCGACACATGTGCCATGGCAGCAGGGGCTACTCACCGAGGTTTACGACGCGCTTCTCAAGCACTTCGTCCGTGTAGCCTTTCTCTAGCGCCGCGAGCATGGGGACGCTGGCCCAAACCGAGCCTGGGAACCAGTCTGCATGGCGAGAGCAGTGTCAGCGTCAAGCTCAGCAGAATCACAGCGGTCCCACTAACACAAGACAGCTTTGACGTCGGTAGACATGGAGGCGGTGATGGAGAGAGAGAGCTTGACAGAAGGCTCCGTTGGGTCATCGATGGATTGACCGAACTCGCCATGACTCCTTGGAAATCCGGTTGGAGTGCGAGTGCAAGCTCAAACAATGGCAACAATCACAAGTGCTACGTCTCGAATCCATGGAATATCGCGATCAACTCTCTCGTTATTTAACTAATGCAACAAGACAGCTCGGTCGGCGTTTGTGCTGGATGCAATGGCTTTGTGTCGATGCAAATGTCGGTTTGGGCTTGACAAGGCGGAAAGCGACACAAAATGATCATTGCCAAGGTATCAGCATGCTGCTTCACAGCTGTTCCTTCACGTCAGTCGTGCAGACTCACCAACTTTTCCTTCGAAAATCTTCGAGATACAATGTGCCTGAGTTCGTCTTTCAATGTGCTCATGCTTCGGATGAGGGTCATCGAACCGTTCTGCAATCACCTCGTATGTTACTGCAACTGCTGCTGCCTTCATTGTAGCAGTGCCATCCTGATCCATCAACTGTGATCGGAATCTGATCCTCATTTTCTGGGTGAGCACAAGCATGTGACAAATCAGCGTTAGCGTGTGAGTTTGCATGGATCTACAGTGTGCTGAATCAAGCAGTGACGCACTGAAAATTTTGAACGAAGAAATTTGATGATCTCGAGCAAACCTGCAGCGTCGCATTCTCTGCAGTTGACTCGATGCGAGTATCCTGGTACGTGAAACAAGGCGGGAATAATACTTTGTTGCAACTCGTCAATTGAGTGACCAGGTATTGTCAAACATGTCGACAGGCATAGTTGAGCGAGACCAATCGGATCCAAATCATGCGGACGCTCGAACGGCGGTGGCAATGTTGGTGCTTTTGATTTGACACTGGCGACAAACGAATCTTTTGATGACGCTGTTGATCCATGACCAAACGAGAACCGACTATTGCGACTGCCGTGGTGATCCGGTCCAGTCGAAGTTGACGAAGTCGTGTCTGTGCGAGCAAAGTCACCCTGCGATGATACTGTTGGAGAGTCCATCAAAATGCTTTGCAATGGTTCTTGCGTTGACATGACATTATTGTTCGTGTTCGTGTCGAGGTGCAGCGGCTCGGCATCGTCTTGATCGACCGTCGCATGCTTGTCATGTGACTTGTGACCCTTAAAGAGCCCTAGCGGTGACACTGTCATCATCCAAATTGATCAGTCGATGCTCTGCATTTGTCGAGGAGCTCATCGTGTGCTCGGCTCCTCATCCAAAAGCTCGAGAACAATGACGTACTCGCTCGATCAGTGTTTTGGGACACAACACACTGCTGTTGGAGTCGTATAGCTGATTGGTCCCACCGAGCAGCTGTAGGCGTTTCTTGCAGGCCTGATGCGGTGGTGTCGGCAGCAGAGAACGGGCCGAGTGAGAGCTCGGTCAAGCGCTCGAGCCTCCACCTGCATAGGTCTCGGGGAATGTTATAGGGCCCTCGTTACAAGCTTAGATGCCCCATCCACCGCTATTTAGAGATCCGAACTAGAAGTGAAAATCCATCCAATGTTTTGTGAGCTCCTTCCGCCTCGTTCTCCAGAGGCCCGAGCGCACAAACATGCAAGTGAGGCGGTATCAGACGCAAGCCACACACTCCGTTACTACACAACTGCAAGGCATGCACTGAAAATTCCCTCTCGACCATTTCTACTTGTTCCGCATGGCACTGAAGCGTCGCAATAGGCTTCAACTATCCTCGCGGCCGGTAGCTATTGCGATTTCGAAATCGAAAGACAGTGTCAGCGGATTGAAAGTGCGTTTGTGCTGCTGGACAGAAGCTGTTGAATAAGAAACACTGGGTCGATTACACTGTCGATTGCATTGTCGATTGCCGCTTCCCACACACTCGAGGACTTCTTGACTTCCTTGACCAAAACTGAAATCTGAGCTCCGTCGATCGTTTCATCGACGCGTGTGGAGGTATGGGGAGAACGCAAGCCTGCAGCTTCATAGGGCGCGCAAGTGAGCGGCAGCCAATAGTGAAATAGAGGAAGACAAGAGGGAAAAATCAGGAATCGTGCAGAGATGCGGCAAAAAAGAAATTTTGACGACAGTGGGATTCGAACCCACGCCCTTTCGGACTGCGGTTTTATTCCATGCGGAAAAACCTTAACACAGCGCCATAACCACTCGGCCATGTCGCCTTCCCAGCGAGCGGAGGAAATTTACATGACAATCCAGAATTTGGCAAACAAAAACGGCTCCAAAACAGTTTTTGTGGTGTTTTATCACATTGAATACTTTAGTACATGCGTTTGACGGGCTTTTACACCGTTTGATGGGGATTCAAGCGTTCTATGGCTTCTTCGAGCGAGTCGATGGCTTGATCCGCCTGGAGCGGTATATAGTGCTCGTACGACACTCCAAAGCACGAGGAGATAGTCTTTCCAATATGTAAACCCCGTTTCTTATCCGAGGCGCAACGCGATAGACTGCAAAAAAACGACAGAGATACGGCAAGGAACAAACAGATGAAGATCGAGTCGACCTGATGAAGCTCACTCGCCCGGGCGGCCTGGAATCCCACAATACTGCACAATCGCGACTACCTTTCTGCTTTCGGGCTCACCACGCTCAGCCCACTTCCCCAGCGCCCAGCTCCAAACTTTGGACCCGCTTGTTGCTCATCCTGCCACTGCCAGTGTGCGCCAGCTTCGACAATAGATGGATCGACTTAGTACACATTCCTGATTCACAAGCACATTAGGGTGGGGCAAGACTCGAGACGGAGCTTCTCCACATTTTATTTTCGTGATGTATGTGAATGCAATGTCACGTTGGCCGTGGGAAGAACAGCGTAGTCAAGCAAGGAGCCAGCGAAAGGTGAGGTGCATGAGAGGAAGCTGAGTGCTTCAGAGGTTCGGGTATCAAAGAACACATCAAGCTTGGAACTCGATCACGAGTTGACTCAAGCTCGGTAGACACTCGCTGACTCGCCGTTCCAATACTGACAGCAAAGTCTTGTATTCACAAAGTCACCCTACAAATCTTCTTCAAGCGACAATTTCTTTCAAATACTGTTTCCTGAACTGGTTATCATCCGTCGCTTGAGATCGATCATGCGGGACCCATTTTGGTTCGTCTTTGAACAGTCTCATTGCTTTGACGTAATCTCCTTCATCCAAGGTGAATCTATGATAGATACCTGCTGGTAGGATGATGAGATCTCGTGGTTCTACGGCAATGCGGATCCATCGTGCATCGGTCGAGTCTGTCGAGGTGCGTAGCACGAGTCAGGGCTACGCTGCTGGCTGCATGTGAAGGAATGGCAGAAGAACTGACCTCTGACATCGAAAAAACCTGAGCCCTCCTTAATGTATCGGATTTCTTCGTCTTCGTGCAAGTGCTCTCTGCAGTTTGCCACCGAGAGAGAAATCATTTAGTGTCAGCGCTGTTCCAATACCAAGGACAGACATGCGAGTGATAGTGAGTCTTGGACCGAAGCAGCATATACACTTACGCAAAGAACGACTTGAGCTTCTGTTCGTAGATGTCACCCATGGCGGCCTTTGAAACGTTGATCTCGTCTCTGTTCTTGTACACTCGTTCCTTGGCGCTGAACGATCATGGCATTTCAAAGTGAGCTGATTGACACAATTTGCGCGAGACAGGAGTCGTACGGGAACGTACATCTCTTCAACTTTGTCCAATCCGATGTCAGGGAATGGCAACACTTGCAGCTGCCTCAACGTGTCCAACGAGACAGGCTCTCCAGAGTCATGAGGCAATCTTTGGTCACCTGGTTTGTCGTCGCTGCGAGCATTCATCGCAACAGCATTAGTCTCCAGCGTGAGTCCGAGGCGTGAGACGTTGGCTGTGAGCAGCGAGCACGTGCTTTGACAGCTGGGCAGGAGCCACAGCCAGAGACTTGCAGACAACGTGAAGTTGAGTGCAACGTTGACTCACTAGTAGTATGTGCGCATGTTGTGGCCAAATGAGTGGCGCGTCTGGTGAGGAAGCAAGGTTCCGTTGTGTTTTGACTTTCTGACAAACGACGTCATTCACAGCACGTGACACCATTCACACCCACGATAGGCGCATCGTCCTTCATTGGTGATCAATACATTCAAATTGTCACTGTAGTTACAGCTCGTCGTTGCTGGCCATGAGCGCCAACAACATTCCACCGCCGCCGCCAGGATTCCCGGGTCACAACTCGGCCAACACGCCCGTGCAAGCTGCCGCTGGACCTGCTGCAACCGCGATTCCACTGCCACCACCGGGTGGCCCGCCTACGCAGATGTCGTTCTTGCCTCCCGTGCCACCACCGTGGACAGAACATCGAGGTTTGTTTGGTTTCTCAAGGCGATGTATGTCACTTCGAAGTCGGGTCCAAGCTGATTAATTCTTCCGAATTGCTCTATGACAGCACCTGGAGGACAGCCTTACTGGTTCAACCCACAGACGAATGTGTCGACATATGCGAGACCAGGCCCGCCTGTACCACCACCAGGCTTCTACCCTGGTGCACCACCACTGCAGCAACCTATGTTGCATCAACCTCTTCCTCAACAACAACAACAACAGCAGCAAGCAGCATCACCAACCAAAAAGGAAAAGAAAGAGAAGCCGAAAGAAAAGAAACCAATCCACGGCACGAACTGGTTGAAAGTCACTACCAACAAAGGCAACGTGTTTTGGACAAACTCTGAGACGAAAGAGAGCGTTTGGACCGTTCCTGATGACATCAAAGACATTGTTGAACAGATCGACAAGCAAGAACGAGAAGCACGTGAACAAGTGGCGACAAACGGCAAGAAGAGAAAAGCCGATGACGTCGCTGCTGCTGCTGATCAACAGGAGGGAAATAAGACAGATCAAGCTGACACGGAACCCACATCGAAACTTGACGTCGAAGTCGAGGCGGCCAACGGTCAATCAAAGTCACTTGATGCGACGGAAGCCAACGACAACGCCAACGGATCGGATCAGCCAGACGAGGTTGTCGTCGAACCGAAGAAGAAGAAGCAGAAGAAAAAGGTAGTTCGCGAGATTGAAGAGCTTGAGCAAGACGAAGAGTGGCAGAAACAAGTCGCTGAAGAGATGGCCAAAGAAGTTGAAGAGGCTGAAGAACGGGCACAACAGGAGAAAGAGGATCAAAAGAAACAGGCCGAGGCACAACAAGAGCCGAGCAAAGCTTCTGCTGCTGCAGACTTGGATGTGTCGCAGGAAGAAGCGGCAGCTTTCTTCAAGGTCAGCTCCAGTGTCGAGCCAGATCCGGTTGGCCTCCGCTGACGAGGGAGGTCTCTACTCTCATCCTGGTCAGGTCATGCTATCAGAGAAAGATATCGATCCGATGGCACCTTGGGACATGGAATTGCCCAAGTTCATCAACGATCCTCGTTACTTGGCAGTCAAGCAATTAAAAATCAGACGCGACTTGTTTGACGAGTTTTGCAAAGACAAGATTCGGGAACGGAGAGCGGCGAAGAAAAAGGCTACAGAGAGTGGCGCAGTGCAAACTGTTGACGTGAGTCCGTGCGCACCAAAACTTGTCGTTCAGAATTTGACAATCTGCCTCCGCAGCCAACAACCGCGTACCGAGACTTGTTGAAACAGCACGTTACGTCGACTCGAACTCATTTCTCTGACTTCAAGAAGGCACATCAGAAAGACCCTAGATTCAAAAACTTTGGCAAAACAGAAGGTGACAAAGAAAAAGTGTTTCGTCAATGGTTGCGAGAGTTGGGTGAACACAAACGTGCTCAAGCAATCTTGGCTGAAGAAAAGTTTGTCGACATGTTGAAAGAGGATAACGGCATCCGCCGAGGGGACAAGTGGAGTGATGTCAAAGTGAGACATTCGAGTGACAAACGATATCAGGCGGTAACGTCGTCTTCGTTGAGAGAGAGCTTGTTCAACAAGTACGCTGCAACGTTGGGTGACGACGCAACCCAGGCGTCATCAGCGGCCGCCTCAAGCTCGAAAGGCATCACAAAAGAGGAACGAGCCGCCAGAGCGCAAGCGAGTCTGAGAGAACGAGAGGCACAGGTCAGAGCTGAGAAAGAACGAGCGGCAAAGTCAGCTGGGGTTGCAAGGCACATCTTGGGTCGTGAAGAAGGTGAACGAGAGTTTGGCACACTGCTAGTCGACACTGTCCGCGATCATGAGGTGAGCGTTGTCCCTTCTAAGTCAACGAATCATTTGCACTGAAGTCTTACTATATACAGGCACGATGGGAAGACGTTGTCAAGGTTCTTTCTCGGGATTCTCGATTTGCCGACTCGCCTCTGTCGACGAATGACAAGAGACGCTTGTTTGACCAACATACGCGGTCACTGTACGACAAGCGTCTCAAACTTGTTCACGAATTGTTCTCGACTCATGCACCTTCACTGGTGACACCTTTCCACGACGTCTTGCCAAACGTGCGAGACTCACCTCACGTCAAAGCGCTGGTTCGCGATGATTACGACGCGTTAGAGTCGATGTACGATAAGTGGAGTCGAATTCGAATGTCAGAAGCTCGGACAGAATTTGACATGTTGCTCAAAGAGTCTCCCATTATCGAGCATTGGGGCCGTTTGCAAAAGAAAAAAATTGGTGATGACGAAGATGATGGCAAGGTTGGAATGCAACATGAAGGTGACGAGGATGAAGATGACGACGACGAGATGCCAAGTTTGACGGAGATGGCGAGGCAGATTGACTTGCCTGCAATTCATAAGACTCTCAAGGTAGGTGGTTCCAAAGCTGGGATACGAAACCTTGATTCTATCAGCATGCTTATTGAAGTAATTCATTCTTGTATCTGGCAGCACGACAAGCGATACACGCAGTTTGACTTTGATCCGGACGCTCGCGAACAGTGGGTCAAAGACTATCTTGAAGAATTGAAAGCGCCCAAGCAGACTGTTCATCAGCGATAGAAAGTAATTCATCATGCATGCAACGACATGTGCTTGCAATGCCATACTGGCTTGAGATCTTTGAAAAGTTGCGCGAATGTGGCGCGCCTCTTTACCCTGCGTCGGCTAAGGGAGTCCGGTTGGATCCAAGCCGGATACTTGTTCGCGCCTACCCAGCGATGCAGCCAGGCCGTCCCGTGCCACTCAAGCGGTGTCGAACAGATGGGTGGGCTTCGATCTCAGCAATCATGATCTCAGATGTTCGGAGCTGATGCGTGATCGTCCACAGCTTCGCC